TTATATTATATTATATTATATTATATTATTTTGCGTTTACTATGTCACATGATGTTGGAATCTATTTTATTAGTGTCACCATCACCATTGTCAACTGCACTAACCGCGTACTTGTCGTACAGTGGTTGTAGCTGCCACAGTTTCGTTCACCGATAATTCGGGGAGGTGGGGTAAGTAGCTGGGCATGTGAGGTGAAAGCTGATAAATCAGTGCATAAATACAGCACTGTAGGTGGACTGTTAAGTGGGGGGTGGGAAGGGAGCTATGCATTGAAGGCAATAGCTTGGATGCATGAGCGTTATTGAGGGCGTGACTCGGCCGTCTGTCCAGCGCAGCTAAGTTTGCTGGTAATGGCTTTTATACTTTGCTGCCAGGTCATTGTGTGACCTCCCCCAGCTCGTTTCCACCCTTCACGTTGTTGCGTGAAAAGAACCTTACGAAGAAGTCGGTCGACTGACATACGGAGCCAAGCCAGCGCAACCTATACAGTGTGATCAGTTCATCTATCGAGGCTGAGTTGTTTTTCCCAAATACCATTCAACGAACCTCAGCGTTGATGATCCGGTGTTCCCACCAAATTCGGGCAATGCTCCGAAGACATCGATGGTCCTCGGCGCGCAGCGACCAGGTTTCTGATCCGTACAGTAATATGGAGCGCACCGCAGCATTGTAAACCCGACCCTTGACGGATAAGCTGATGATGATGCCACAGGTGACGCAGGTTCACAAAAGCTGCTCTGGCCTTCCTAACCCGGATTAAAATCTCATCTTTCCCGAGACCACTGGGACTGACACAGCTGCTCAGGTAAACAAATTTGTCTACTGCCACAATCAGTGCATCCAGAAGCATGAGACTGGGGTTCAAGCCCACCCAGGCTTGCAGTAGCACTTTACACTTTGCAGATGTGAAGTGCATGCCCAAACTGTGAGACAGAATTATTTAGATTATTTAATATTGTTTGCATTACCACGGGGTCAGATCCAAGAGCTATACCGTCTGCGGACGCCCCAGAATCACTTCGACCCCACAGGCACTAGAGGATGGTAGTGAGTCTTCCATGATTGTATCAATGACGAAGTTGAGGAAGAAGGTTGAAAATGGACAGCCCTGTCAGACATCACTTTTTGTGGTGGACTCAGGCGAGACCTTCACACGGCCGCGGGAGTTGGCGTAAGGTCCTTATGGAGGGTCAAGGATTTATGGGGGACACTTTTGTATCAGTATTCACTTGTACTAATGATGTCACTGGTCTGTTATTCTTATTAATGCCATATTTTAGGACAGCTGGCCTGCACCTGGACTCTGCACACATTCGCCTACCAATTTTGTTCCCTTTGGTCTTTATTGTGGCCAAAAGTTTGGGTGTTGAAGCCTCAAAACAAACTATCTGTGGACCTCCTACTAAACGACTAATCGTATTTGGATGCTGCGCATTCATATTATGACATATTGCATACTGCATTACACTGATAATGAATATAGTACATATGGATATATATATATATATATATATGATGCATCTCTACCATCACTGATGGATTAGAAGAATTCGGTATTTACCAAAGCACACAAAAGACCATGAGGTTCACTTGCGTGGGACGAATTCGCATTACGAGAACCAACTTTTGAACTAGCCGCACAGCTTAAAAATGAATTGTGAGTTAACATGAGTCAAATTTATCAAAGCACACAAAAGACCATGAGATTCACTTGCGTAGGACGAATTCGCATTACGAGAACCAACTTTTGAACTAGCCGCACAGCTTAAAAATGAATTGTGAGTTAACATGAGTCAATGTGCTCAATCGTGTGTAGTTCGGCCAGTCCTTTGAAGCACTGGAAGCATTCTGTGGACCGAAAATGCAATACCTTCAGTATATCCGTGATATCCGGACACGCTGAACGTCCGATAGAACTGGAGATACACTTGCTACTTGGAAAGCACGTTTCCCAGCATTACCTCACAACACATCGAACTTCTGCTGTCGTCGATGGTCTCAAGCCCTATGAAGACGAACTTTTCCAGCCCGTCTACAAAAACTGAACTTTGGAGGGCGATAATGGAGTTTGGAAACCGAAGTGTTTCTGGAGAAAACGGAATGCCTGCTTAACAATTCAAACTGAGCGAAGCAACACTGAAAGTAGCTTTTTGCTTTATTTGCGCAACATCGGTTACTAAAAATCCCGCAAAAGAGTACAAGAAAGCTACAGGGAAGTAAAGCTGACGGAAAACGGGCGACTGTGGAGGAAATAGCCTTCTATGCACTGCAGGCAAATCCTGGTACGCATCCTACTTAGCCACCCGGACTTTAGTATTCTGGGAGAAAATATCTATGAAGATCAACGAGCCTTCATAAGCCGATGCAGAAAGGTTGGATCTAACCTTATAGCATGAGGAAGCAACCGACATTTATACGTTCTCTTCATAGAATCTGCAAATAGGAAGTCGCTGTGGATCGTCAGCCAAATGCTCGGCAGTCCAGAACAAAATGTCAAGGCTACCAAGTACCTTCACTCTGGTCCCAGTTACCCCCCAGCGTAGCCACCTCAGGCGAGTTTAAAAATGGTACGAGAAAGAAGCCTGCAAGGTTGCACATTTGTTTAATCTGAATCTGGCTACGAGTTGTACAAACGTTTTTCACGATTCCGAAGATGGCGTACAGTACCATGTAGACTGTTAGCTCTCCTCTGGTGAAAAATTCCGTGGCTAGAACTAACCTGCACGAGTCAAACATTTGTATCTTGATTTTCAAGGACGACTGTGCTGAATTGACAAATTCGGCGGCAAAATTGCAATAAAAATCAACGGGATTCGTCCCAGAACTATGACTTTTTACTAAATGTGTATTTCTAAGATGGACGTCATGCACTACTCATAAAGGTGAGCCTCTGGCAACACCAAATTTGTTTGTAAATGAGTGTATTTCGCTTACTTCGTGCAATTCGGGTTCAAGTGGAACATAAGAGCGACGGAAACTCGCGCCAGACTAGTGGATATCGTTTGCTATCTATGTACTCAAGAGCTCTGACATCGGTACTGCAGTGTTTGGCTAGAAAAGATTGGCAGCACAGGAAGAACTCATCGAGGCTGGGGCCAGGTACACATTGTTCTTGACAGAAGTCTCAAGATAGAGTCGGGAAGGTTGCATTTTCACCATTCAGAATCCAGTATGTTGATGTGCTTACCAGATGTAATGTTCAAGGTTCTCTATATTCTGTCGTGATAAGCGTACTGAAGTCAGAATGTCTGTATGGAATATGATCGAATCGTGAATGCTTCCCCCCTAGTTTCTCTTACTGGGAGCCGAAAGATTGTTTCTGACGACATATACAAATGGCAGTAAATCTACCAAAATATATACTGCTCCAACATTCAAACAAGGTACGTAGCAGCACCATAGATTCGTCCAGGTCAGTGCACTCGAGTCCGTAGTTCCAAGTGAGTTGAACCCCTCATGTGTTTTCAGATTCGTATATACTTCTATGTTCAGAAGGTAAGACCCTCTTGACTGGGAAGTCCTGACTGGCGGGTCAGTCGATCGTCACAACCAGGACATTTACTGGGTCGTCGTTCGATGAGTCGGGCACACCAATCACATCGCTCAAGTGAGAACACGTTCGCCTGTTCAGACGTGATAATTCAGATGCGTCCAACGTGCGTTGGTGGAGTGGTGGTTACACGCTCGCCTCGCATGTCAAATGTCCGGGGTTCAAATCTCGACAGTGGGTATGCACTGCTGATGAGCCCTAATAAGGGCGAAACTCGAGTCCAGTGATTCCCTTTGGTGTGGACTCCCCGGAATAATTACGCCAGAACGGGAACACGGCCGTTCAAACGAGAGTGGTCTGGCTATGAACAAAAATACCTATCCCGCAAAATCCCAAAATCGTTTAGGAATAGTTGATACTGGAGATGGCTCAAGTGGTTAGAGCGTGAATTTACTAATCGGAAAGTTTGTGGTTCGAACCCGACCTCTGCTCCTCGACTTCCCCTACCTAGGCTTGGGCAACCTGGCAGTATCCCAACCCTCATGCTTCCTTCGGTTAGAGCATGGCATCTTGGCACCGGAAGGGTGTTACAGCTGGACGACCTATCTGGTGCGAAGACGTTAAGGTAGTTTCAGTTTTGGAATTTCACAGCGTAATGCTTGGTCGAGAAGTGTTAACTGCATGACTGTTGAGTCACAAGCACCTTCAGATTTCCCACTGATGCGTTTATCAGAAAGCTTTTCACGAACTGTGCTGACTTTTGAGCACCGTGCTCGCTTAAATTAAAGCACTATTCCGGGGAGGCGGGGGGGGGGAACAAAGAACATGAGCCATTTTCGTTTGAGTTACCTTGTCAAAAAATCGAAGAGTGCCTCATGCAGCTGAGGCAAGTCTGCATCCTTCCAAGGAGTGAGGAAGCATGCTTCCAGTTTCCGGTTAACCTCGCTGCATAACCCGTAGAGATGTTGCAGCAAGTCCAGCTGGTGCCCAACATGGCGCATACCGATCAGCGAGATTGGAGTCAATCCAACAAGACGCTCACCACGTGCACAGCTCTCCGCCTTCTTCATAAGTTGTTCATACGCATTTCTAAAAATAAGCTGCCTATCCACAGCTTCATACTGCGTCAGATCAGGGCATAGAGGTCCACGCTAAAATGGATGGAAAACAAAGTTTATAAATAATCGTACAAACGTGATACACTACTCATAAGTTTGCTGGAAATTCGTCGTACTGTGCCGATCAGTGACAGACTTGTGCACTTGTTGATGCTATGAACGTGGACGATTGAAGTTTGCTGTATAAATTTGCTTACCTTTGTGCTAATAGTACCGTAGAATTTCGGACCCAATTCTTCCTTTTGATATTCAGGATTGTCGTACCTACGCGTCGCTCAAAGTACCGTATCGGGAACCTCGGCAAGAGGGAGGGTGGACAAGTGCCAATGGGCCACAAGCTCAGGTTTCGAGTCCTGACTCAAAAACTTGCCAGTAAATTCGAAAAACTGCATTCTCCCAAGACGAATAGGGCTTTTTTTTGCAATATCTGCCCTACCACTCTTCAACGCAATCCAGCTCCTTTCAGAAATCAAGAGTTCGAACACCAGTTGGCACGTCAACTGACTTCCGTTCAGCTGAGGTATACAACCGTCAAGTTCGGCTGTCGACTTCCCCTGTCTGTGCTCGAGCAGTATCCCAGCCCTTGTCCTTCCTTCGAGCGGCATGGCAACTAGGAACCGAAAGGGTGTTTCAACTGAACTATTATCTTTATGTATCGCTGTTGATTGTTTTTGAAGGGCGCCTCTGTAGCAGTATGGTGAACGTGACAGCCTCAATTATTGTGCCACTTAGTGAGCAACGCAACCTGCGCGTGAGAAAGTGAGCTCAGCGGCAGTCGGTCTAGTGTTTTTAGTATTGTGTGGCTGTTAATCCAACTAAATGGCCTCAGACGAACATGTCATGAAGAGAAAAGCGTTCGTAACTCTGAAAGGGGACGTAATGATCTTCAGGCTCGGGGGGGGGGCTGTTCAGTCAACAATGAATATTGTCAACGCATAACTCCTTTCCCAATCCCCACCCATTTTTATCGACCAAACCAAGCCAATCAAAAAATAATGGAAAGCAGGACGACAGATTAGAATTCGTTAGTGTTGTATCTGCTGATTCGTCAATCTGTGGTATCTGCTGCTGGCCCACTCCAGTGCCTAGTTGTCGGAAAAAAGACTCACAGAAGGGAACACAACAGCTGTATTCCGAACAAGCGAGTGCGAGAGCAAAAGTTACAACGGCCCCACTCTATTTAAATGGGACTTTCTGACACTGATCCAGGCTGTCTGATAGGCGTTAGTGAACACCCGTCAACATCGATCGTGCCTCTATGCAATGCCTGAACGCTGATCACATTCGGTCGTGCTTCTGTGGCGTGCATGAACACTCATCAACTTTTGCTGAATTGATTGAATGATTGACTGGCCTGGATGCTTGCCGGCTTTCCTATTGAGATTTTTGTGGAGCAGTGGGTTTCGGGCATTCTGAGGTTACTTTCAGAAATCTGACCTTCCTGATAATCCTATTCAAGTTTCGTGAAAGCCTATTGAAAGTAATCAAGGACTAAACCTTTGGGCTAGTTATCAATTAGATGCCGTTACTATACCTCAAATGCAACTGCGAAATAATACCAAATTACCATTGCTTCAGACTAGATTCATCCCCAATTTGTAATTCCAACTGTGCACCACAATGGCATACGTGATTATGGGACGGATCACATCCGGCCATAAAGGGCGACAACGGAATATGGTGTTTCCATGGGGGTAAAACGGAGGAAGGTCAAGTAAACAACTCGGAGAGATTCGACAGTAACTGACAGCCAACGGTGAACTGAATGTAAGACCACTCGTAAGATCGCATAACGCTTGGACCCAAAAACGCAATTAGGCGAAAAACAGGGTACCTAATCGTATTTATTGTACACAATGCGAAATCAGACTAGCGGAAAAATAACTGCTGTGTCGTGGGTGGCCGTTACACCAGACCTGAGCCTGCCAGACTACGTGGTAAGTAGACAGGGAGCCCAGGACACGGCTGTATTGTCAGGACGAACATACAGAGCTTCTGCTTAAATATTTAGGATGGCTATATGGCCAATCATGGTGATTCGCTTGCTCGTTCTCTCCAGCCAATGGCGGCGTTCCTGCCGTGAACAACTTCACACCCAATCCGCTAGAAGCATGCTGATAAGGCGTGTTTGGTAACCTCCACAGACGTACATGCTATCAGGGAAATGTGGTACTAATTGTGACCTTGGGGACGCGCCGTCTACCGCGCATGTACTTTTCATGTCTGCACGCATCCTAACAATTACTCAACTAAAGTAGGCTTCGTAAAGTTAGGGCTTCAATGGATCCCCTGCTTCCGAATATAAAAAGACCATTCAACCGGGTCCCATGGATAGTTGATGGTGTCGTTGCAATTCAACTTTAGCTATCATCATCATTATCGACAGCATGAATCAGTGTTCAACATCGATGCTTGACTGTCGTAACTTTTAACCGTGATTTTGGTGATACAATGTACTGTGTGTGAAAAAGAACATCTTACATCCTGGTGAATTTCTAATAAGAAAGATAAATACATAATATATCACCTAAAGAAACATAGTTCTTTAACATTGTACAAGCTCTGTAGGTTATATAAGTAAATATCACCTCATGCAAGCTGATGTTGACAAGAAATAAACAGACACTTACTTGCTGAAAGTCAATGAGAAATTGCTTGACCAACTGCCGCACTTCCGCACTCAATTCGGCCAGATATTTTTGTCGAGCAGGCATAATTTCAAGGATATGGTCGACCGTGGACGACATCCGGTCCGTCAGTCTTGTCAATGCCCATCGAGCCGCCTCAATACGATCAGCCTGGTCATGAGACAGACCCAGTGAGTATTTGTTGAGCATAGCTTGTGCTTCCTGAAAGTTCGAGAGACGGAACCGATATCATATATGTGCATATTCATCATCATCATCATCATCATCATCATCATCATCATCATCATCATCATCATCATCTCATCATCATCATCATGATCATCATCATCATCATCATCATCATCATGATCATCATCATGATCATGATCATCATCATCATCATCATCATCATCATCATCATCGTCATCGTCATCGACAGCGTGACATCAGTGTTCAACACCGATGTTTCACTGCCACATGTGTGAAGCGCCTGCCAAGCCCTGAGACGGAATCATTTAGATTATTTTATATTTACAATACTACAATTTACAATAATACTACGATATCAGAATAAACGCCCGGTCGAATGATCCCAGTACCTCAACTATACTTCCTTCAGCTTGGGCAACCTGGAAGTATCATTCACCCTTGCAGCTCTTCGCTCACCGGGTTCCCCTCACACTCCCCACCCATCGAACGACATCATCATCATTGTCAGCTGTAATACCCGCGTACTCGTCGTACAGTGGTTGTGGCTGCCGCAGTTTCGTTCACCGATGATTGGGGGGGGGGCGTCCACCGATATGTGCATATTAGCTCACAGGAGCTCTTCCGGTTAAAGAACAAGCTAACTGGGCTCGAAAAATGACGGCCCAAACATATTCGGTTTTTCTCTAGCGGTTTTACAGACCTTCAATGTAGAAAAAATTCGCTTATCACCAGTTGCAGCATCGAAAGAAGTATTTTCCTCTTTGAATTGCGCGCATTTTCACTGCTTAAATGGATCACAAAAAATTGCGTCCTCTGTTGACCACTCTCTTCCACGACAGTCACACAAAGCACCAGAACGTTGTACAAGCACTCCTCATCAGCAAGCACAATCCTGAGGAACGCGGAAAAGGACGTGATATTTTCACTGATGGAACAGGTTACTTTACGACCTCAGTATTCGACTAGCTTCACTTGAAGTAGTTCGGCAATAAAAACGGGCGAACTAATTATTTCTCCGCAAATAAATAAAACAACTGGCGTTTTTTTCGGTGTAGGTCATCAGAGTATTTTGGCCTTTCCCAAGCACTTTGTAAATGAATATATCTTATTAAAAAGAAAACTTTTTGCGGGACGCATTGTGTCGGTTCGGTATGTCCCTACAGCTTCCTTGCATTACAAGACTGCCGATACACGCACGTCTTACGACGAAGTTGTTACGTGCTCGTGTGAACAAACTTGTTTATCGTTTCAGAGGGGTTCGGTAAACAATCGATGGATTTTTTTTCCGGGCAACGTTCCGCTTTTGAGTCAAAAGCTTCGTCAGGCCAAGTGGGTAAGTAAAGCATACATTTGAGTCCAAAACAAAATGACTGAGGTTTAGGCATACCTTTATGCCTTCAGCTATCTCGTCTACGGAGAGTTGCGTTCTTCCTTGCAGCGTTGTGTCTGCCAGTAAAGTAATCTCGCTACTTCCACAGCGTCCGCTTTAGGGACACTGGCGTGCATCGGGTTGACATCAAAGCTAATCAGGACTTCGTCTAACTCTATCTGAAGCCCAGCTACTCAAGGATAAGGTTTATCGATGGGATCACTAATACCCTCGATTTCTGCTAACAAGTACATGGAAGACTTTGGGCAGAAAGCTTTAAACGGATTCGAGTGTCCACAAGGGCGTTCTGGCGTTACGTAAATGACACGTTCCTTGTGATAAAGAGGGATAAGGTGAACGAATTCTTTCAATATCTGAACACTTTGGACTCTCAAATTAAATTTAGCATGGAGCTAGAGTTCACATCGGGTACACTACCTTTCCTTGAATGCATGACACACAAGAGTGGTGGGAAAATAAAAACCACTGTATACCGGAAATCAACAGATAGCGATGCGGTCTTAAACTACTGCTGTGCACATCCAAAAGCAGTATGTGCTAACATCGCTTCAGCGATGTTTAGGAGAGTGAGAGCACTGTGTACAGAGGAGGTCGACCGAAGAGCAACACAAGTTGAGGTAAAAAAGCGACTTCAGGATAGAGGATACCCAGATGGTTTAATTAAGCGATTATTGGTGCCAACACCAAGGTCTAACAAGGAGTGGATCGGAACAACGGTCATTCCATACATCTGAAGTCATTAGAAGGGTGCTGAATGCGGCTAACATTAGAGTAGCTTTCCAGCAAAGGAAAACTTTACGCTCGGTGCTGGTGCATTTGTAGGATCGCCTTCCGGTTGATACAACTTTTAACTGTGTATACAAAATAAAATGTAACGACTGTACGAAGGTTTATATAGGTCAGACAGCCAGGGAATTGCACACCAGAATCGGTGAGCATAAGCGTTCCATTAACAAACCACCGAGAAACGCAGAGGAATACCAGGCGCTAGTCCAAGATTCAGCACTGACAGGGCATGCTCTAGGCAGTGAGCATAGGATAGATTTAGAAAATGTGGACATCCTGAGACGGGGTTTAAGATTCACACCACAGCAACTGGTGGCCGAGGCGGTGGAAATCGCCAAGCATCCCAGCGTGGATAGAATAGAGAGGGTAGAGGGTTGTACGGGTGGCCAGATTCTAAACCGTTAGTGTCATGTTGCAGTGTCGGTCGGCCGCCTTTGAGTCATACGCATAAATTTCCGCAGCAGGCGTAAATTTTCGCGCGACATGTTACGAAATACATCACGAACATGTCAAGTTTCTGGATTGAAATTTCTTCAGTTGCTCATACACTAACGAGTCCAGCTTACTATACTGCCTTCCATTTTTCTCGTGAACGACTTCGATCAACAGCTGGAATTGTTGCAACCCGTCCACGGGATACCCCGCAGTGTTAGCTTACCCCAGTACGCCTTACTCCATGCCTCACAACTAAATGAGTTGCGGAACTGATATAGCTGAGGCTTACAGCAGCGTGGCACCAACGAAACGTGTGATGCCGTTGAACAGTGTTTGACAGTATGAGAGCGACATCATCAGCATCGTCCTCGTGGCTGGGCTCGGAGTTAGGGGAATGAGCACAATCGTGTCCTGACAATAACGTACCGGAGAAGTTTCACTATGGTTCATAAGCCCATCCAGACCCACTAGTGTGTCCAGATTGGTGGCTCGATGACGGTAAGTTATAATGCAGTTCTGCTACAAGGCGGCTACCGCAGACCTGAGTGTATGTTTTTGTCTCGGGGTGGTATATATATATATATATATATATATATATATATGTAGGGAGAGAAAGAGAGGTTCACCTATGGATCAGTGGCAAATGTTTGAGTGATCTGGTTTCTATTTATGGGAACTTATGACGAGGTAGACGCATATCAACGGAGGGGGGAGGGCGTGTGAATAAGTTTGACCAACGTACCTCAGCCTTGAGCAAAGTCATGTCCATGGAGATCTCCTGACTCCGGAATTTCTTCAGTGCCTCCACCGCGCAAAATATGTCGTCGAAGTTGGTGATGTTCCGAGAAATTGTGCGGTCAAATTCATCTAGGAGACTTACAACCGGCTGAATTGGTGCAATAAACAGTTCGACAAACTTCTGTACGAATATCTAGGTTAGAATGGATTAAGAACAGTTGGGATTGTGTTAGCGGGTCACGGTTAGTAAACAAAACAGAGTTAAGGCACCTTTCTCCTAGGAACAATTAAACTGAAGAATGAATTTAACTCGGCGCCGGAAATGGCGTTTGACCAGGCGAGAGCTGCTACCACTAAACCAACTTCTCGCCCAGTATAAACACTTAAAAGTGCGTATCACAACCTCAGTAACCGTAATTGATGTAGTGATGCCTAAACATTAGGTATCTTTTTCATCCCATCGTAGTCAGGTCATATTCTACTTCGGCTATATCACTAAAATCACATTTGGTCGTTCTTCGCATCTATGCCCATTTGAGTTGTGATGAGACATTTCTAGTTAGTGATTTTGTGGAAAAGAGGAAACTCGGGTGAGCTGCTTCGTTGCTGGTTTGTTTAGCTAACATGACAGCTGGATCGCGAAGATATTTCATCACCAACAAGCGTCGAGTGGCTGAACTCCCCCTGTTCTGTATGTGCTTAGATATTTTCTAAACAATGACTAATGGCTCCAAGTTGACTGGTCGGTCTCGAGGTGGCTCTGGTTGGTTCAAACCAAACAGATATAAGGAAATGATAAAAAAATGACGCGAGTCAGACTCCACGCTGACCAATCAAATTACGTGAAAACTACCTTGGCACCAGCCAGTTACTTTAGAAGCCTTAGATTCCGTTTAGATACTATATAAGCACAGGCAGAAGAGGAGGGATTTAGCCA